ATTCTTTGGATTCATCTTTAATGACATGCTCAGTAATGTTCAAGTCTGTTGACTGGGCTGGCCAATCCTGTAGCGCCTTCTTTTACTTTCAGGAACTTTGATGTGGAGGCAGAAGTATGACAAGGAATTTGAAGAATTTGTCCTCTCTTGTGGTTTGTTATGTAATGGGCAGCACTAATGTCTTGAGACTTCAGGCTGTTGATGTTGCCATCCACTCTTCAGATCTCTCACATTCCCCTATACTGAATGTAACCCCAAACCATGATTTTTCTTAACCAAACTTGACTGATCATGCAGGATCCAATAGGTCTTCTGCAGTTTGTGATGATTGGGATGCAGTTCAACGGATGATTCATCGGAAAAATCTTCCTTCTGCCACTTTTCCAAATGATCAACTAGAATCAAGTTATTATTTGATGCTCTTACAACTGGAATTTAAGACAAGACTGTTGTCAGGTAGTGTAGAATGAGTAATTTCTAACAGAATTACAAGTATTTTCCTTTCAGTAAAAAAGTGACCTTGACCATTTTCTATTTCTGCAGATTGACAATGAACTTAGAATGGCTTTAAAACCATAAATCTGACTGTTTTCTTAGCACGATTTACATATGCTCAAAACTATAGTCGCATGTCCACACAGCACTGAAGCAAAAACAATCTATAATGAACCTCCCACTACAGAGTCCATAATAGCACTCATATCTGTTAATTTCATTTCCATTTGAAAAGCGATTCACTATGAAAAAACATTGTTACACATCAAAAGGGAAGCGGGCCCATCCTATTCATCTCCTTGCCTTGACAATACAGACAATGCATGCAGTATGTGCCCATTATACGTTTCTATGATGAAGCATCATGGAATACCCAGCACTTACAGACGAGCGCTAATTACCAAACTGAAAAGCAATGAAAGGGGAAAACGAAATGTGGTTTAATAAGAAAATAATTATGATCAGGAGCATGTGCAATTTAGGAGGTGACCTGTTGCCAAAATAATGATAAAAAGGTTTCGTTTGCACTACAAAAGAGTTGGATTTATCAACATATGAAATAATATACTCTCCATCTCAACACTGTAGCGCCAACAGTCCCAGGATGTTTGATGTCACGGGGCTGATTTGTTTTGATCTCACCTGTCTGTGCATGTCTATTGTGCCTCAAACAGAATCCATCAGCCGCATGACATTGAGAAAGAGAGAGGTGGCATAGTTATACTGAAGATAACCAGGCAAGCCTTGACCCTTTGTCTGATACTCTTTCAGAACAGCCATAGGCAGTATGTGGGCCAACAAAGGCAAATGCAGTAACTATGCCAACACTGAAACAACAACAAAAAGAAATATCTTAAAAGATTCTTGATCAATATCACACTCCATTGACTGAGCAAAGTAGAGCTAAAGCTGTCTATCATAAGGGGATATTACAGATTACCTTTGCTTGTTAGACTAGTTAAAAAAAAACACAGTATTCGAAATTGCACTTTGCCACTATATCACAAGTGGACTAAACCCCAAATCAGAAAAAGTTAGAACAGTATGGAATAGGTAAATAAAAAAGTAGTGATTTACTTTGACTTGTAAATAGTTTGAACACAAAATATTTCATGTTTTGACAAGGACGTAAGCCTAAGCTAAACAACAACTTTGATTTCTGATCCCTCACGCGCCACTGCATCAAGAATAATCTTTTATCTATAAGTGATATTACCACATGGGCTCAGGATTACTTTGGCAAATCTTTGTCAAGTACCAAAATACGTAGTTACATCCACAAATACCAGTTAAAACAGTACTGTGCTAAAAAGAAGCCTTATGTTAACACTGTCCAGAAGAGTTTGTCGATTTCTCTGGGCTCTGAGGCATCTAGGATAAACCATCACATAGTGTAAATGTGCACTGTGATCAGATTAATCAGTATTTCAGGTATTTCATTTTGGGAGAAATGGACGCCGTGTTCTCCGCACTAAAGTAGAAAGCAAGGGTCTGTTATGGTATGGGGTTGTGTCAGTGCCCTTGGCAAATGTAACTCACACATCTGCGATGCTGAAAAGTACATAGAGATTTTGGAGCACAATATGCTGCCTTCTCAGGGACACCCATGCATATTTCGACAAGTCCTGACTGTGGAGGAAGAGGATACAGGTATTTGACTGGCCTGTCTGCAGTCCAGACCTGTTTCCAGTAGAGAATGTGTGGCACATTTTTAACCTCAAAATTAAAAATTGAAGACCCAAATCTATTTCCAAATTCCTTTATTCGTTTATTCATTCATTTTCTTTTCCGCTTAGTCCCTTTATTAATCTGGGGTCGCCACAGCGGAATGAACCGCCAACTTCACAACACCAATGAAGTGCTATCCACTGTGCCACTGTGTCGCCTTTCCAAATTTATAATAAAAAAAAATTTTACTAGTTCCACTGATTTTTCTCAAAGCAGACCCAATGGACCCTTTAAGATTTCATCAGGCCACAAGAATTTATTATTGAACTGATGCAATGAAACTAACATTGGTAGGTCATGATAATGACAACATGTGACTTGTGCGAATTCCTTACATACTAAATTCATAATTGGTTTCTGGGGATGACTAACAATATACTGTATGACATTCATGCCATAGAAACATTATTAGGAACATTATTTGATACTTTTGCATTTTTTTTTTTACTTGCTGGTCTCTATTCACTACCATCAGATTGACAAGCAAAATGTTCTACTAGCTCAACTGAGATTCTTCAAGGCACTCCAAATGGACCCTTTATTATTCCATTAGAATAAACCTGAACTTGACTTTGGTAGATCATGTGATAATGACATTATCCCTTCCATACTAAATTCAAATTTAAAATGTCTTTATTGGCATGACTGTAACAACCTAATGCTGCTGAAGCCTAAAAGTGTGACAAAAATGTAAAAAAATGTAAAAGGTGAAAAATCTAAATAATAGTATAGAAATAAATCTTAAAGCTTTATTTAAAACCGTATTTAAACTTAAATAATCAGTGTAACAAACAAACAACAACAAAACATTGGGGAACTTTTCATATCACAATGTTTAATATATAAACATACAACTCGTATTTATACTAAATAGAATAGTCTGAAAGAAAGTTTGAATTTAGGTATAGTAAATAATATGTGATTTTGGATGCACCAACACTTACAGAAATAGTGTGAAATATGGAAAATCCATTTATTAATTACCCATCCTGTACTACTCATACAGTGGATTCTATTTCAGAACATAAATCATGAAAAAGCAATGTTTCTGAATTGACCATTTATTTTGAATTGACTATTTATAGACGACCAAGAAAAAGCTAGATTTTTATTAAATGATACATTACACCAAACTGTACTGTATATCCTAAATGGAAGATTTGGCCCAAAATTAACGTTTACTCAGCATTAGCTCACCCTCAAGTGGTTTTCTATACATCAGTAGTAGAAACAAAAGTGGCTACCAGTTTCCTACAATATTAATTTATGTATTTATTATATTTTCATTTTGTCAGTTTTTTTAAGCCTCCTGTGGACAGGTGTTAAGAATCAGCAAGTCTGCTAAAACACTTAAACAAACGCATTTGATTGTCCAGTGAAATTGTGATGTCCATGTAAAAAATACAATAAAATGAACAAACGAACAAACAAATAAATATATAAGTAAATAAATAAGACTAACTTCTTTTGGGTTCAATATAAGAAAGAAAGTCAAACAGGTTTGGCAGAAGAATGAGTAAACAATAACATGATTATTTTAGGTGAACTATATCCCTTTAAAAACACACACTTGCAACATAAGGCATTCCTCTTATATAAGCATGAAAAGTATTTGATTTTTTTTTACTTATTATTATAATTTTTTTTTACTTGCTGGTCTCTATTCACTATTAGATTGACAAGCAAATCCAGGATTTTTTTTAATGTCTCTTGGTGTGAAAACAAAAGAAGTTTTGCATTAGAATTTTGTAGGGCATTACCCAGCATGCACTTGTCAAAGGTGGTGTTTAGCACATCAGCTTTTGGTTGCAGATGGAAGAAACGGTTTAGAAAATGCCAGATAGAATAAAAAACACTAAGCTGCACAGCGGTAGCGTTTTTGGAAATTTACTGTCAATTAAGCATTGCACATTGTACAATGTTTTAATCCAGACAATTAAATGTCAAAAAAACTTGTATGATTTTTAATAATATAATAACAAACTTTAAGAGAGTACCTTACTCTCAAAATGTGCTTTTAGATTTTTTTTAGTTGCCACAGATTTTCTCTCATATTTTCATTTATCCATCTAAAGTTAAAAAACCAAGAATAAACCAAAAATGAAAATAAATAAAAAACTATATATATATCTATCTATCTATCTCTCTCTCTCTCTCTCTCTCTCTCTCTCTCTCTCTCTCTCTCTCTCTCTCTCTCTCTCTCTCTCTCTCTCTCTCTCTATATATATATATATATATATATATATATATATATATATATATAATGCATATATATATATATATATATATATATATATATATATATATATATATATATATATATATATCTATATATATGTATATATATATATATATATATATATATATATATATGTATATGCATTTCTGTAACTGTTTTTCTGTGTCACTTGATCATTCTAATGTGCTTCTTTAAACAATTACCGTTATCAACAATAAAAACCGTTGATAAATACTGATGGAAAAGATATGTTTGCAATGATGTATAATTCTATTTATTGTGTCCTTATTAAATAACCTTCTCTACGTGTAGTAATTCATTTAAGAAACTTAAAGACTCTAAATTTGCTGTAAAATTAAGCCTCAACTTTTAAAAGCTGCATATCCAGCCTGATCCGTTTAAGCTAAATATATATAGTGGGATGGTCTAAAACTCAAGTCCGACCTCTGCGACACTGTGATTGGTTCAGATTTTGAAGGCGGGGCGCAGGGTACCACATGGAGATGCTGTGTATCGGCGGATGCGGGAATGAGTGAGACTGGGGCTGAATGAGATGCCGGTAGAGGAGCAACACACAAAACATTCACATCTTGAAAACTTATAGTGTATAGAGTGCGCTAATTTATCTAATTAGCGGTGCTTTGAGTTACATAAATAGCATGTTCTTGAGGAATAAGGAATAAAAGTCAGATTTTGAAGGACAGAGTGGCAGAATTGATGGAATAATGAGGGCGCATTTGCGGAATCCGACTTTTTGCAGATTTCTTACTGCATGTCTTTTAATTATTTTGCTTGCTTTTGCTAATGCGGATTCGACACTTTTTTATGGACACGTTGAGGAAAGCGCATTGCCTGGAACTGTTGTCGCTGGGTTCACGTTTCCTTTGGGAGACAAATGCAAAGAAGACAATTTAGCAGGACTTAAAACAGTTTTGACAGGAGACGACTCGTTGGATTTTTCTCTTGAATATCTGGGCAACAAGGGATTTGTGTTAAAAACCACTGAAACTTTTGCCACGGACTCCAAACTGAGCTATACTGTGAGCGCGCGCTTGCCGAGGTGCAACGGAACAACTGAAGAAGTGACGGTTAAAATCAAAATGCTTCAAAAAGACGACGAAACACGGCGTTTTAATGAATCCTCTGTCAGCACAGGGGTTATCGGTGTTAAAAGCGGCAGCAGGAAGCCAAGAGCCGTCTCGGAAGAAGTGTCCTACACCGTTACAGTTTCTGAAGATGTGAAAGTCGGAGACTTGATCTTTACGGTACCGGACCAGAAGTTCGAGAAGAAGTGGTTCGAGGTGGTTTCGGAGGGAAACTCACCGATCCAGATGGAAAGAGACTCGGGGCGCGTGTACTTGGCGCATCGTTTGGTGTCAGCAACCGAGGTCATGGTTAAAATCCATAACATGAGAGGTATGTTAAGCCTTAAAGTCACAGTTTGCGCGTTCATTTGCATGAGTTTAAAGAAGTGCCAAACCTAACAAATGCAGCCTCTGTCATCAGACACTGATCTGTATGGCTTTTCACGTGAATAGACTTCAGTCACCATTCACTCAGTCACCATTTACTTCCGTTGCATCTTTTCTTACAATGAAAGTGAATGGCCACTGAGAGCGTCTTATTCTAACGCTTCCATTTGAGTCTGATACATGATACATGTATGTAAAATAAAGATAAATTAAGCATTTTAGGAGAACCATTCATTTAAGTTCGCATGCAAACATGCTGTTAATCTTTTATGAGCGCTAAAATGAAGGAGAGGGCATCATCCTGCCAGCCTCTCAGCTCGACTGAAATCACAGCGCACTCTTCCGATGTGCGGAAGCTTTGTGACATTTGGGGACATGTATTGTGCACTTTAAATTTACTCTTCGCTTAAGGTCATGTGAAAAACATATTTAATACTTGCAGTGCAGTACCACATTCAAAACAATGCGCAGCCACAATAAGTGCATGAGTTGATGACACAACACATGGTGTTCATTGCAAAATTACATTTGTAATCTGCTCTTGACATTAATGAAATGTTTGCATTTTAAAGATGCTTATACGTATATTTAAACTGCAATCAGGATATGCATTTTGGTAATATATTATTTTTGAGAATAAAAAATAGCAGTAAACCCAAGCAATACTGTTTGGGCTGCAAAAACAGTATTCACACAATTTGGGTTGTCGGATTATATTAGTTCCTCTTTGTTTTACACTTTTTTTGCCTAGATGTTTGTCCTTGGTAGGTTAGTTTGGTAAACGTGTAAACAAATAACAGAATATGTGGCTATGGTTTAAGTGACAAACACAAGCGTTAAAGCATGTTCCAGATGTTCCACTTTAAAAAAGTACTGAAATCATTAAGGAAATGGAGAAACTGGAGTAAAGGAACCATTTATAATTCTTACATCTCTGACTGTAATAAATGAATGCAATTTGCTGGGTAGCTCAGCTTGAATTATTGTGAAACAGATACATTACGACACGTTGGATAAACTCAGATGAGATCACTCGGTATCAGAGAGTAGCTGGGTTCAAGTGAACATAAATGTTATGGAGAAAGTCTTCTAATTACGACTGTGAGTTTAGCTAAAGTGGTTGAGGTCACGCAGGTCTGATTTCGCTAATCAGAGCTCTAAAAGCAAACCTTTATTCATTTGTTTGTTTGGTGTAATTAGGGATATTTATTCACCTGGAAGTCACCAGACAGCACATGTGCTCCTAAATACCTTCAGTGGGGCAGGATGTGTAGTTGACGTTGGGGGATATAAATGTTTGTTTTTGCAAGCAAAGGTCCCAGTCCATCACCTGAACCAGCCATTGGAGTTGTTTGCGATTCTGATTGAGGTCATCTCGCTGAGTGAATTCAGAGATCAGATGAATATATACGCCTTGACATGTTTACTCAAACTGCTTTTCTGGAATGATGTTGCCACGCGTTCCTTTGAAAAGAGAAATAAGAGTTATTATGTGCATTTCTGTAAAGTATCCCATGCGAAACCTTTGAGGAATGCCTTTTCTGTTGTACTGATCTTGCTTCCACTGATTGGGGAATTACAGGATGATTTAAATTGGGATGAGAGCTTGCTGGAAAGCTCTATCATCAGCAGTGAACAGAACAGATGTGGCTTTTTACATTTAAACATGAGGTTTTTCCTACACTTAAGAAAGTGTGTGAAGCGTCTGCCTAACACATGTCAGGACTGTGGGTGGGCAGTATTACCATCAAGTTATTTTATTACCTATATACATTACAATATATTTGTTTTTGCTAGAAAAACACATTAAAACAACGAAAACAACATGTTTTCACAGCAATGCGAAATAGGAAACATTTTTGGCTTAAGAAATTCAAGTAAACAGTTTTTAAAAGAACATTTTAAGTATTAAAAACTTGATTTTCACCTGTGGAATGGAAAGACAGCATGGATTGTAAATGTTCTTCATGGAATATGGATGTAGTAAAGAAACATTGTCTTCAAGAATGGTTTAAAAAGTTTGTTAAAATAACTGTTTTAAGTACACTGTGAAAAAAGTTCTGGTTCCACACAATTCCTTCATGTTGTCCCAACACAAATTGATTATGTTAGTTTAATTGTTTTTACAAATTTAAGTTGATATTACATAAAATAATCAAGATGTTTTCACAAAAAAGCATTAAGAATTGTGTTGGGTCAACTCATTTTAAATTAGTAGTTTAACTACTTAGTAGAACACAAGTCCACTGTAAAAAATGCTAGCTTCCACGCAATTCCTTCAAGTTGTCCCAAAACAAATTCATTAAGTTAACCTAATTGTTTTTAAAAATTAAAGTGGATTAAACAAAAAACAATTATGTTTCCCCCCAAAAACTCACGAATTGTGTTGATTCAGCTCATTTTAAATAAGCAGTTTGAACATGCAGCAAAAAGTTCTTTTAGAGTAGCAAAAGTCATTTTTTTGAGTGTATTGAAATATACTTAATTTTCTTTGATTAATTATTCTAGATCAGAGATGCCCAAAGTAGTTGGTCCATGGTAACCTTTGAATTGGCCTGCCATCCCATCTTAAAAGAGAGGGAGAATGTCAGTGGTTTAACAGAAATCGTCATTATGAATTTTGAATTGAACGTAAACTTTTGTTTCTTAGTTAGTTTTATTACTGAGCTACAAAAAGGCAACTGAAATTAAGCAATTGAATTACATTTTGTAAATGGATCATACTTTTATAAATAGAAAAACTGTCACTTGACGTGCAGACATCTATGAGCATATCAAGGTAAAGGCAGGTGCAGCTGGACTAGTGTATTCAACATTGAACTCCATTGTGTTAGAATTATGTTTTTTTCTGTAATAAGTTCATTATAAAATGTTAAAAATGATACTGCATTAGATATTAAAGATAATTTGAAGCAAGGGTTACTAGTTTTTTTATATTACTGAATAAATGAGGAAATTCCATAAATTAAAAATTTTATGTAGTACTGTTTGTTATGTATTCGGCCCACAGCCCTCAATCAAGTTTGGTTTTTGGTCCTTTATAGGAAAAACTTTGGGCACCCCTGTTCTAGGTCATTTCAGTAAACCTGTTCTGTAAATTCACAGGTTTGATTTTGAATTGCAAGCTTCAGCAGACTTTAATTCCAATTTATGCATACCATAATTCATGTATATTTCAGCACATTTTAGTTTACAATCCATTTTGTTTCCTACATACCTATCACTTGATTGTTATGGGACGCATTGTGAAAAAATGCTTTGAAAGCAGATATTCATGCCTTGCTGCAATGTACACAGGGGCTACAATCAAAATGGCTGTTTTAACTCAGATGTTAAAACCAGGTGAAAACACTGTTTTTCTGCTGGCCTCTGAGAAATGCACCTTAAAGGGATAGTTCACCCAAAAATGAAAATTTACTGACTATTTACAAACTATCAAGTGGTTCTAAACATTTTAAGTTTCTTTCTTCTTTTGATTACAAAATAAAATATTTTGAAGACAGCTAAATACTTGTGACCATTGACTTCCATAGGAAAAACACATATTTATGAGTCTATTGTTACAGGTTTCTGGCATTTTTCAAAATATCTTCTTTTACGTTCAACAGAAACTTATAAATGTGAGTAAATGATGACAGAAATTACATTTTTAGGTGAACTATCCATTTAAGATCAAGCTGAAACAGTTCCTTTGACTCATTAAACATTTTATAAATCCAATTTATTCTTGGATTTGGTCTACACTGCTTTCTTTGGATGTTTGTTTGGATGTTTCACCATGCATATTCTGACTGGTCTGCACTTTCTCTGCTAGTCTGGTCTATAATGAACATGTTGTGTTTCAGCCTTTCGGTCATTTCGGCACAGCTCTCTCTTTAAAACCCTACAACACAGTGGAGTATCCTCTCCACTCTTCAGTGTGAATTCAGCACAATGGGAACACAGTCCTGTTGGCAGCAGAAGAGCTTTGTATCTCATTTTCGGGGGCAGTTTGAAGGACTTTCTCTCTCCAAACGCTTGTATGGGGAAGTCAAGCCAATGCAGGGTCTTCTGGGAGACAATTATTTTTGAATCCATTGTGAAAGCCTCATGCTAACACAGTGCGTTTGAGTGCTTTTTGGAATGACGCTGTTTGTTTTGTCCCGTTTATGTGCGAAGTCTGGATGAGAAAATCCCATCTGTGTTAACAGAGTGAAGACATATTCACTCCCAGTCCCCGTAGTCTTTGATATCTGACTCATAAAGTTGCTTACCCAGGTAACAATTGCATAGTAGAGCACATGCAGACCTGCTTTATAACAGACGTTTTTATTTTGAGATTTTACTTTTGTTGTAATTGGGACTGGGCCATAGTTAGAAATTCATTTGTTAATGTTGCAGGCTTTTTGCAAAAAACAGGAAAACCGAACACTCAAAAATTACTCTTGCTGCTTGTTCAAACTACTTATTTAAAATGAGTTGAAACAACACAATTCTCAAATGTTTTTTATTTTTATTTTGTGAAAACAAAAACTGCAAAAAAACATACCTCCTGGGGTGTATTTGGCGCTCTTCAGAAATGTATTTAGCGGTATGTTTTCAGAATGAGCCTGGGTTGATTTTATGTTCACTTAAGTTTGTAAAAACGAGGAAGTAAAGTTAATTGGTTTTTGTTGGGACAACATGAAAGAAGTGTGGGAAACCAAGCATTTTTTAGAGTGCATGTAAAATGTGTGTGTGATAATATATTGTGGTTTTAGTTTCTTGATATTGCATATTGATGTTTTTTCTTTATAGTTTCCCACATAGATGTAATATTTAACAATATATGCAAATTACATATTTGACATACAAGTAAATATATTTGTAATTTACACCTGTAAAGTATGTCATATTTGCACTATATATACCCACACATAATATTAATTATGTATGCTATATTTGAACATATACAGTTGAAGTCAG